CCCCCCCCCCCCCCCCCAGTCCATGGAGCTGGCCCCGGTCCTTTTGCTTCAGCGCACCAGTAAAAAGGATGCGGTCACACGTTGAAGCGGCTGCAACCCTATTATTAATCTACCGCTCTGCCCACAAAATCGTGGTGAGCTAAGTGGTTTGTTTAAGGGCAGGTAGCTAATTGCTGCATTGATTACACCTCCTGCCCGTTTTATCTAACTCATCAGAGGGGCTCCGAAAAGACAGGACAAAATTCCTGCTTGTAGCCAACTCGTCGACTTGGCTAGTGAAGGGTTAGGGGAATTGGCGTCTCTCCAGGGTTGGAGGAGAAGAACCTGAGCTGGGAGGCGGAGTTAAACATGTCATCAGTTTGGAGTCATTCTGCAACCACAAGTGACCCAAGTCTTCCACACACACACCCCACCGACTGTGAATTCCCTTGACCCTTATCTAGTGCCGATTCAACTTAGTTAACCAGATTTTTTTTTATACAGATAGCATTTAAGGAGCCTCTGTGGTGCAGTGGTTAGAGTGGAGTACTGCTACAAGCTACTTCCGCAGCCAGCTGCCTGCAATTTGGCAGTTCAAATCCCACCAGGCTCAAGGTTGACTCAACCTTCCGTCCTTCCGAGATGGGTAAAATGAGGACCCAGATTGTTGGGGGCCAGAGGCTGACTCTGTAAACCAACCTTCCTTCCTTCCTTCCTTCCTTCCTTCCTTCCTTCCTTCCTTCCTTCCTTCCTTCCTTCCTTCCTTCCATGCCATTGTAACTTTGAATGGTCCCTCCACACAAGTTCTTAATTCCTTCTTCTGCTGCTAGAAAAGGAAGAGGATGCAGACCTTACGCCCTGAGGATAAGCAGGCTGCATTGCTACTACGCGGTGCAAAGGGAAAGCAAACTACACCGCAAAGGTTGGGTAATTTTAGACTTCGTTTTGCTCCTTTTTAGTGGGATTTTCATATCGGTTACCGAGCATCCAATGCACATTAATTATTCTGGAAGAAAAATAGTGAGACAAGGCCTTTTCCAAGCCCCTGATTAACGCAAGATTTTGTTCGTTTAAACACGAAGCAAGACAACCCCCGCCCCCCCTCTACTTTCCGAGTCCCTTAATTTTCTTAATTTCAGGGTTTAAATCTTCAGGAGGAAAATAGGCGTTGCCTGTGAATTACCTGCATGAAAAAGGGTGAGCATCCAAACCGGTGTTTATATGCTGCCATTAATTCCGCGAAATGAGGTAACAATAGCCTTAATTCCCTCCAGTTAATTTGCTTTTAAATTGCTTGGGCCAGGAGCGGGCCTTGTAGCTGCTTCCATGTCCAGCAGATGGCGCTATTGTTCTATTTTGCTACCTGACCTGAACAGGTAACCTCATGCCTCTCTTGATGCCCAAATTGGAATAAGAGAATACAGGAGGTCCTCGATTTACAACCACAATGGAGCCCCAAACTGATGTGGCTAGGTGAGTTAAGTGAGTTTTGCCCCGCTTTGTGACCTTTCTTGCCATGGTTGTTAA